AGACATTTTTTTTCTTATATTCAGAGAGCAAGGAAAAAGATAGAAACTAGAAAAGTACAACTTGTACTAAAATACCAAGAGAAATATAGAGTAAGTTAGGAAATTATTCTTACTCTTCTGGCATAATGAGTATTGATCTATTGTGCTCATTTTTTTTTGGGGGGGGGCGGGCGGGTACTGGGGATTGAAACCAGGGGCACTCAACCACTGAGCCACATCCCCCCACCCCTATACTCCTCTTTTGTATTTTATTTAGAGACAGGGTCTCACTGATTTGCTTAACACCTTGCTTTTACTGAGGCTGGCTTTGAACTAGTGATCTTCCAGCCTCAGACTCCAGAGCTGCTAGGATTACAGGCACGTGCCACCATACCCGGAAATTGTGTTCATCTTAAAGCATAATAAATATCAATGAATGCTGAGAGTGCAGGAAGATTCAGGATAGGTGAGATAAAGTTTATTAAAACGCTTATATAGGGCTGAGGTCCTAGCTCAGTGGTTGAGCGCTTGCCTCACATGTGTGAGGCATTGGGTTCAATCCACAGTACCACATAAAATAAGTAAATAAGTAAAATAAAGATATGTGTTCATCTACAACTAAAAAAATGCTTATATAGAAAATTTGATGATTTAAACTTATTAAACTAGTGATATTAGAGTAAAATTTAATGGTCATCCTGAAAGTGGATAGCATTTGTATAATAAATATCAGACTTGTTAAAAATCTCCACTAAGACAAGATTGAAAATGAGGTCAAGTTGCAATCCGTCATTGAAAAATACAATGGCTACACATTGGGTTGAATTTTGAAAATTGAATATTCTTGAGAATTTAGAGTAGTAATATATTAGAAGTTTGACTATCAAGACTCAACAGTGAGTGTAACAACAGCAGAGACGTAGGTAATTTCTCTCATTCCCAATATCATTGTCTAATATTAGAATTAAACTAAAAGGGTTTAGTCAGAATGTTAAACTGTAATGTTAAACTCTAACATATATGCATTTACTCTGTATAGACTAGCCCTTATTTTGATGCCTAAACTTAGGCTTAACACAATGTTTAATATGGTTTGTGTAGACACTTAAATCTAAAAGGATAAATCATGGTGTTTACAAGCCAACAAGTCTATGATTCATTATTATCTAAGAGTAATCCAGAGAACAAATGTGCCATGTGACTATATACATATGCCAGTAAAAGTCAAAGCAATGGCACATCTCCAAGCTAAATTACTCAAAAAAATTAGAAACATCAGCTATTTTTTTTCTGTTAGAACTTTACCAGTCAATTTGTACATTTTTATCAGCTTCTATTTGTTCAACTCTCTCCTAGAGTTAACAAGAGAAACGGGAATACTATCTTAATATATCTACCATCTATATTCATGATTATCAAATAATCCAGGATGATGCTTTTTGTGTGCTGCTGCTGACTAAACACAGGAGTTTTATGCCTCTGCTACTTTTACAATCCTTTTTTAAATCTTATTTTGAAATAAGGTCTTGCTAAGGCCCTTGAACTTGAGATCCTCCTGCTTCAACCAGCAGAGTAGCTGGGTTTATAGGTATACACCATCATGGCCATAAGACATTAATTAACTTTATTGAAATTTGGGAATTACAAAACTTGATTGATTAATGTAATAATATTGATAAAATATTAATAGTAAAAATGATAACTGATGTTTATTCCCAGTTTACACTGCCAGACACATTGTAATCATTTAACATTGGTCATGATTACCACTTTCCATGCATAGTGATAAAGAACTACTTTCATCATTTTGTAATAATTATCACACAAGTTAGATACTATTAATAACATGAATTCAGCAATATGTGTTGCATATATGAATATACAAATGAATAAACAAGTTTTAAAAACTGAGGCTAGAAAATTTAACTAACAAAACTAAGTTTATATTATGGAAAGATTTGAAATTTAGGCTGAACTTTAAAATATGGGCAGATTTTGGACAGAAGAAGAAGAACGTGTGAAGTATGGGGATAAGCAAGAGGAGAGGAAGATAAGCAGAATGAGCCTGCATGTTTATGAGTAAGAGACAAAAAAAAAAAAAATCTAAGTAGGTCAGGGAGGTGGACAGTGAAGAATTAGGGAGAGCATTTTAGTACAGGATGGGATGGTATATTTCCTTGATGTATAGGAAGAAGAGTTTGGACTATAAGCAGAGTGACATGAGGAAAGTATTGTGTAAGAAAGGTGTAGACTGGCAGCATTAGGCATTATGGATTTGGCAAAAAGAATCTAACATTTAGTATAAGAAGTATTTGCAGCAGACTAATAGAAACTTGCAGAAAGCTAAACAGAATTATGAGGTTCTGGATTTTGATAATTGTTGCAAAGGAAATTAAAAAAAAAAAGATAATATAACAATTTTTGAAAAAAGGGCTGAGAGTTTAGCTCAGTGGTAGAGTGCTTGCCTAGCATGCACAGAGCCCTGGGTCTTATCTCCTGCACACACCCCCCACACACACCACAACTATAAAAGAAAAAATGAAAATAGGTGCAAATGAAAAAACTAAAGCAATAAAGGCCAGTGTTTAATGGGAAAATATATCAAATGATGGTTTCCTTAAAAGAAAAATATATATGGAATATGTTGAGTTTTCAAAAAGAAAGATAGAACCGATTTAAATAGAGACCAGTTGAAGGAAAGAGAAAAAATGCACACGGAAAATAAAATGTTAATATTACCTCCAAATGGAGATGTTTTATGCATAGGTAAAAATAGATTGAAGCAGGATACAAATACAAAATCAGACTTATCCATATAGATTTTTAAGTTGTGGTATTTGAAAAAGGCACTGGAGACAAATAAGAAGCAGACTTGATGGAGGAAAGAACTAGTCCAAGCTAATTGTGAAAGTTAACTTGAATAAATCACTTAACATCTCTGAAATTCAAATATGCTGTGTTTTAAATGAGGAAGAGATTTACTTCACTGTGTGTGTGTGTGTGTGTGTGTGTGTGTGTACAGAGTGAAAGTACCTTAAAAACTGTAATCAAATAGATTTCAAATGCTGTGTTATGGCTAAAAGTCATTATAACTGAAGGGTAGACATTTTAAGCCATGTATTTCCTGAGGGATTTAGAGTTGAATCTTCTTCTTTTGATTGAAGATCCATATCTTGCTGTGCCTACAGAACAGATGATTCATTACTCTGCAAATAGACATTAAAAGGTCAGTTGATGAGCCTGCTTCTGAAACAGCAAAAATAATGCCAATGCCTTTCTAGATTCTGGAAAATTGTTTGAATAATCATCTTTGGTGTTTGCTTAATTGAAGAAATTTACTTTAAACCAGCAAATAAGGGAATAAACCAGATAAATTTCTAGTTCAAAAGTTCACGTTCTTACATCATATTTATATGAGTAAAGGCACATCTTCTTTAAGTATTGCTTGTAGTCATCCTGTATTATTATAGTTTAACATTAAAATTGTATCCTACTAAATTATAAAGTAAAACATTTTGGTACACTGTTTAATTTAAGCAGGTATGATAATCTATTCTTGATTCTTTTTAGACTTCTTAAAGTTACTAATTGCATTGAAATAAATATTTATACCTCAGGAAAAAACTGAAACAGAGCTGCCTGCATACAGTAACAAGTCAGGAGAAGGAGTGCCTCTGTTTTGTGTCCTTAGACTATGCTTATAATGCCAATATTTTATATGAAGATATTAACTTGAGAAATATTTTAGGCATTTTGTATCTACTTTGGTTAAAAGAAACCTGTAAATTTAATATTTCTTAAGTATATTACAACTCAAATTTGAGCACATAATGAGATCACCTAATGTAAATTCAAAATAACTTGTAATTACATTTTCATTTTGCTAGTCCCCTTTTTTGATATGCTTATCAATGTTTGAGTCTTTCATTCTATACATCACAGATGTCACATTTCCTCCATTAAAAAATACTTGAATAAGGAAATATTTCAATAATAAGGAAATTATCTCAATTTTCAACAATACGCTTGAGCCTCCCTAGCACAATTCTTGATTTTTCTTTGTATCCCTAGCACCTTGGACAGGGCCAAGCACACATCATCTCTTAACCTCTATTTTGAGACATGAAATGATTTTGTTATAATACCATATTTGTCTCCTGTGTCACTGGGAATATTAACTCTGGTGCTTGAACATGTTTTTATTTTGCTGTAATAATTACTTGTATGCAAGCTACTCCCAAATTGTTTTTATTTTATGGTTAAGGCAAAATATCCTCTTGGAAAATAAAATCTTTTAAAATTCATGTTAGCATAAATAATTTCATTATTTCAAACATTTTACCTGCACAACCACCATAAAAATTAAATAGAAATTTAATTTTGAAAAAAAAAATGCCTTTTCTCAAGTAGTGCCTTACTTTTATTCTCATCTGCAAGTTCACAAAGGAATTTTTATAGGCAGGAGGGAGGTTCCCCTGTCTTCCCCCACAGACCATCCCCACAAAAATAAATAATAAATAGATAAATCGTCACTTGGAGAGGAAACAGAGAATTTTCTACTCCAGTTTTTAAAATATTGTCACTGTGTAACCGTATGAATAAACATAAAAGCATAAATTCTTAGCTCTCTTCTAAGCTGATATTCTATAACTACATTCTTCCTGACTCCTGTTACTGGTGTGCACTACAATAAAGACCGTGGATCCCAGCACTTGCTCCTTGTTTTCACAGAAGAAACTGGCATTCAATAAAGGAGACAGGCAAACGTATGCAGGGCGAGTTGGTCTGCAAACCGTCTCTGTAAGCCGATATTTATTCGGCTTGTATTAAATTGGTGGTGGCTTCGCAAGAACCCTTTGTCTGGGACGTTGGGTCTGGCAACCATTATCTCTTCGCGGAAACGACAACCGAAGACTCCGCCCGGCCTGGGGGTGGGGAGGGAGCACCTCGTGGAGAGCTCGACGGAGAATTAAAGTGAGTGAACAAAGAGAACTCCCAGCAGCCGCCCGCCAGCGCCTCGCAGCTGCATCTGGAGACGCTAGTCACGCCCGGAAGGCTGTCCGAATCCGCCTCCCTGGGAAAATAACTCAAATAAATAATTGATGGAGATTGATCGGACCCGAAACAAAGCTTTGCAGAAAACCAATGCATCCGATTTTAAGCGGTTTTGGAATCCTCTGCCAAGTACGGGATGTGAGAGTGGAGCTACGACTTTGAGTGCGGCTGCAGATCTTCCATCTCGGGCGTGGCTTTGGCCTTTTTGTCTTCCTGTCTCCCTCCTCCCACCCTCACCCCGACCCCCTGTCCCCGTCTTCTCTTTCCTCTTGAAAGTAATCTCTCTTGCATTACTTCTATCCTGTCCTCCTTTGCAATCCCGCCTTCTCCCCTGCCCAGTCCGGTGAGGTCAGCTCATGAATACCACTGCACTTCCTGGGGAGCGTCTGGCACTGCTTGGTACCTCCAGCGTTCGCCTACTGAGAGCTGCAGCCTGAGCCCTGCAGTCCACAGCCGAGAAGTAACCGAGTCTGAAGGCAAGTGAGTCTTCTGGTTACCGCCATTGTTTGGAGAAATTCAGTGGGTGAGAAACTGGGAAGAGCGGGCCCAAAGTCTTGCTCAGCCAGAAGTCGCATATAATACTAAGAAGATATTTTCCTGGTCTCTGAAAGACACTGGAATAGACCCCGAGGTTTCCGGAATATCAGAAGGAAAGCTCTGTTGATTTGCTTCAACTTCTTCCAAAGTCTCTGCTGAGAAGTGAGCAGTTCCTCTGGATTTCTAAAGGGATGGGGATGAGAGATGGGGTGGGTCAGAGGGCAGGAAAAACTCTATATTAAAAGTGTTATTAATGTGGGCCGTGTCAGGTGACTTGGGTGACAATTTTCACAGGGGAAGACTTGAAGAGATGCAGCATTTTGTCACTTTATGGGAGTCAAGTGTCAGCAGTCAGGTGCCTTTTATTGTGGAGCCCAGCTATTGGAACCAGAAGCTTTCTTCTGGGTTAAAGCTGTCTGGGGGCTAAGTGTAAGCTTTTCTGATGGCTTCTCAGCTCAAGAGTGGTTCTGCTAATTTAAAACAAAAATAAGTTTGCATTGGCAATATAACTTTGTTGGTGGCCCACATTAGGCTGACCCATGCTGATTAAGTAGACAAAATATTCTAATAGCATTGTGGCTCCAGTAGAAGATATAGAAAGAAAGTTGATGAACACCCCATCCCCACCACCAGTCATCTTTGTTTGCCTTTATATTCCAAAGTGAGTTAGAAGGAGATGCTGGAAACAGAAAGAGAGGTAGAGAAGATAGCTTTCAGTAATGTTTTGTTTTATTTTTTATAAAATGAGTGATTACTACATGCTAAGCTGTAATACTTAAAATAGACAATAACAGGAATAATTCAAGGAAAATGAGTAGCAGGTAATCTTCTCTTGTAAGAGGAGTAGTTTTGGTTTGTTTTTCAAGATGAGCTTTATGCCTAGCAATGCCCTTTCAGTGCTCTAGAGAGAAATGACATTTCCAAGGAAAAAGCACCAAACTGATTAGTGGACTAGCTAACTGTCTCATTATGGAAAACCCATGAGGCAGTAGCTTGCTTGATGTTTTCCAGATTTCAGAAGGCAATGATGGATGTGTCTTAGAAAGATACACAATAGAAATTGATTTTGCTATCATGAGGAAAAATGCAACAGCCTTCTGGGTGCTGGGTCATTCTGTCTTTGAATTTGGCTCTATAGGAGGGAGAGAATGGGCACTTTAAACGTACTTAAAACTTAGCCTGTTATATACCATCTAAGAATATCCTTAAGAATGAAAGTAGTTTCTATCTTGCAATTATACCTAAAACTAAAATGATTCATAAGAACCACAAAACTGGTAAGCGTAGGAAAATCCATTACCTGAAACTTAAGAAACTGCAGACCTGCATATCAACTTTTCCAAAAGTATTTTTAATATAAAAATAATCCCTTTGGCGTTATAAATCATTAAACCATATATTTCCTAACACCACTATTTTCTTGAAACAGAGGGTTAGTCATTCATCATTTATATTTTTACATTTCTATTAGTGTAAAGACAATATTGGGACTTGGTGCTGCCAAAGAAAACTGTCACTAATCCATTTATAGCAAATTTTCTCCAGTAGTTTACATCATAACCTTTTCCCTCTAATCGATACTTAGGAATACTAATTCAATGAAACCTTTTCTACTAAGCCAGGGTGTTGCATATAGATTCAATGGTGAAGAAGCCAAAGTTGAAAAAGCAGAGGTTTGACAACTCTGAAGCCTCTTTCTACCCTATCCTGATCCCATTGATTCCTTTCTGACCCCATAGGTTATCCTTTCCAAAATTTGATACCTTGAAAGTGCTGTCATTTTACTGACAGACTGAGATGGAGACAGCGCCACCTTGGACAAAATCAGAATTGACAACTCTACGTCCTATTTCTAAAGTCAATGCTTCTATTAAGTGTCTTCCAAACCTCATAATTTTCTGGGGCTTCTCCTGTATAGTAAAACCACCCTTTGCTCTGTAACAATGCAGACATGTTGTATGTTGCTCCTCTTTTGTTTCTGTCCCAGCTTAGAAGGGCAGGTTGGTGGCGGTAAGAGGGGAGGCTGATCTAGTGATGGACGATTCCAAATCTCTTCCGGTAGGGTCTTCCTAAATCGCCATGAGTCAGCCACCGACCGGGGGCGCTGCCCCTGCCGCAACCGCAGCTTCTGCCGCCGCCGCAGCCACTGAGGCTCGTCTGCACCCGGAGGGCAGCAGCAGAAAGCAGCAGCGAGCTCAGTCACCAGCTAGACCAAGGGAAAATTCTCTCCGACAGACAGCCGGGGCCAACCGGTCCGCCGTGGGGGCCGGCACCAAACTCAATTCTGTTCGGCAGCAGCAGCTACAGCTGCAGCAGCAGCAGCAGCAACAGCAGGGTAACAAGGCTACCAGCCGCGCGGCATCTCAGGCCTGTGCCCGAGGAGGCGGAGGCGGGGCGGAGAAGGCGGCGCCCCTGGCGCCCAAAGGGGCTGCTCCGGGAGCTGTCCAGCCCGCGGCTGGTGCTGAAGCGGCCCCCTTGGCGACCCTGGCCGCTGTGGGCGGCAGGAGGCCGGGGCTGCCGGAGGAGCCATCCCGTGAGCTAGAATCCGTGCCCTCGAAAGTCGGGGAACCCCCTCCTCTCAGGGAAGGAGGAGGAGGGGACGGGGAAGGAGGAGGAGCCGGCGGCGGCTCCGGGGAAAGGGAGGGGGGCGCTCCGCAGCCGCCGCCGCCCAGGGGCTGGCGAGGGAAAGGCGTACGCGCTCAGCAGAGGGGAGGCAGCGGCGGGGAGGGGGCCTCCCCTTCGCCTTCCACCTCTTCTGCGGGTAAAACCCCAGGCCCCAGCAGCAGAAACTCCGGAAGCGGCGTTGCGGGGGGCGGCAGCGGCGGTGGAGGGAGCTACTGGAAGGAAGGATGTCTGCAGTCTGAGCTCATCCAGTTCCACCTCAAGAAGGAGCGGGCGGCGGCAGCGGCCGCCGCGGCTCAGATGCACACTAAGAACGGCGGAGGCGGCAGCAGCAGCCGTAGCTCCCCAGTGGCTGGCGCCCCTGCCATCTGTGAGCCCCTCGTCCTCTCTTCCACCTCCCCAATGGCGGCGGCAGCGGAGGGCCCCCAGCAGAGCGCAGAGAGCGGTGGTAGCGGCGGGGGCATGCAGGCGGCGGCGCCCCCTTCGTCGCAGCCGCACCCGCAGCAGCTCCAGGAACAAGAAGAAATGCAGGAGGAGATGGAGAAGCTGCGAGAAGAGAATGAGACTCTCAAGGTGAGGAGGATGGGGGAACCGAGTGGGGGAGGGGAAGCGTGGGCCTCGGAAGATTAGGGCGTGTCCCCGCGTAAGTGCGAGGCCGCTAACCTGTTAGGGAGCCTTAGAGAGGAAGCCGAGCAATAAATGAGGGGATTTCGTAGGCCGGATCCAGATTCGAAACAGAACCTGATATAATCTGCGTTAGGTTTTCACTTAAAATCAAATCTGGACCTTCATTTCTCTAATTATTATGGTCTGTCCCACTTCATGGAGTGAGCTAGAGTAAGAGAGCGAAAGAAGACCTTAAGTGAGCCCTTTTTAAAAAGTTTCTTCTTCATTCACCTCCTTGTCACTACTGCCTCTTGGAGAGGGGGTCGGGGGGAGTTGAGAATTTGAAGCTAGGATGGGGTGTGTACGGTATATGTCGGAGGGGCCGGAGGCAAGGCTGATTTTGACTCACGGCCTGTCACCTCCTCAGAATGAGATCGATGAGCTGAGAACTGAGATGGACGAGATGAGGGACACTTTCTTCGAGGAGGATGCCTGTCAACTGCAGGAAATGCGCCACGAGTTGGAGAGAGCCAACAAAAACTGCCGGATCCTGCAGTACCGCCTCCGCAAAGCCGAGCGCAAAAGACTCCGCTACGCGCAGACTGGGGAGATCGATGGGGAGCTGTTGCGCAGCCTGGAGCAGGACCTCAAGGTCTGCAGCACGCGGCCTGGGGGTTCGATGGCCGGCGCCAGGGGCAGAGGGTGGGGACTTTGATTGAGGGCTCAGCGTCCTTTGATTATGACTGACAAAAGATTTAGGGACTCTTTGATCTTGAGTGACTGGCTGAACACAAAAACTTAGGGTCCCAGAAGGGAAAGAACAAACAGGTGGGTCCAAAGAGTTCAGAGTTCGATGTGTGTGGAAAGAACACTATTGCGGAGATCGAGCTTGTGGGGGGGCTCTGCTGTTTTAACCATAGCTTTCTCAGAAGCGGTGGGAAGAGGCTATGTTCCTACTAGGCTGAAACATGGGCGTGGCACTGCTCAGACTGTGGCCTTGATTTAGAATCTGGTGTTTGTCTAGTTTCTTTATTCAAGTTTCCACTCCTCACCTTCCAGGACTCCTTCCTTTCTGTCCTTAACTCTTAAGTAACTCTCTGAAAGGAAAACTGTCCAAATCGCATCCCATGTAAAAAAGGGAGAGTGAAGCAAATGAAAGTTGTTCCCTCAGAAACTCTCCCAGGGGAGAAATCCCAACCTTGAAATGCGTTTTTTTTTTTTTTTTTTAGACCATTGTGGCCTCTTCTCTTGGTGGTTCAGTTGGACTATAGGAAGTTCATTGAGAATGCAAACCAAATATTAAATTTGTCAAGTCAGACAATCAAATATACTTTTAATTGTATTGACTTCACTAAAATATGAAAATATAATGTAATTACTGTACATTTTTTAAAGAAAGCTATGAGTGAAATTTTATGAAAGTCATTGTTGTATTAATTTTTTTTTTCTTTTTCTAAAATTTGTCAAATGCTCCATAGGTACCAGGCACTGTGACAAGCATGATTGCATTGGTTACTACTTCACATGGTTTAAAAAAAACAAAACAAAAACAAACAAACAACAAAACAACAACAACAAAAAAAAACACCTCTGTAAGGTAGAGCTAATTAATGGAACCATCTTACAGATGCAGAGGCTGCACCTTTTACAGAAGTTAAATGCTTGGTTCTAGAACATGACTGGGAGGTATCAGGCTCACTCCCCACCTGGTTGCAGCCACAGCTGGTGTTCTAATCCTCTACACCAGACTATGCTACTTTTCTTTCAACCCCTAAAATACTCAAGATAATCTTGAAACTTTGGATTAAAAAATTCATGGTTATTAAAAAAACTAATGTCAGGGACTAAAATTTTCCCTAAATTTAAGTACATGGAATTCTAGTTATAAGATCAAAGTGTAAACACATCCCCTACTTGTAGAAACCGCTTTTTTCCATTCTTTAATGTGGGCAATAATGGAAGCATCACCTGCTGGTTTTGTTAGAGAACATATATGAAATTTTTTTCTACATGTGATTAAATACAGTAGAACATTTATTACCATGGTTGTAGCATACAAGTTAGCGAACAAATTCTACAGCCTGACTTCCCAGCAACTTGTTAGCTGTGTGACCTTGAACATATTACTTCAACTCTCTAAGATTGTATCCTTAAAAAAGGAATAATAAGTTTCTTTATTTATAAAATAGGAATGAGAATAGTATTGATCTCATGGGATTGTCGTGAGGATTAAATGGTTGATACATGTGAATGGTTTATATATAAAGCATTTGGAATACTGGCTGGCACATAATAACCACTGTATAGGTATTGGCTTCTGATACTTTCAATATGAATCAAATTTTTATTTTATTGTTACAAACAATTTATTTTAGGTTGCAAAGGATGTATCTGTGAGACTTCACCATGAATTGGAAAATGTGGAAGAAAAGAGAACAACAACAGAAGATGAAAATGAGAAACTGAGGCAACAGCTTATAGAAGTTGAAATTGCAAAGCAAGCCTTACAGAATGAATTGGAAAAAATGAAAGAGGTTAGTATTTGATTATTTTATGATGTATGTCTATTTTAGCTCTTTAGAAAAGAATTCCAAAGACCAATATGACTACTAAAACACTTGTATTTTTTAATGATCGTAAGACAGTTCTTTGTTCTTATCTGATGTACTAACAAGTACCCGATTTCATACCAACAACTGAGCACCAAAGAAAAAATTCTAGCTTGAGCTTGGCCTCTAACTTGACATAGTATGAGTGGCAACTGATGTTTCATCCTTATGTTATCTAAATGTTTGTTAATTAAATAAATTACACAGCAAACCATTTATAAAGCTGTCAAGAGTATGAAGGAATGAAGCTTATGTTAATTGAAGGCAACAGTTTTATGAGATAAGCACTGAGTTTATAGAAATATAAACTTCTAGAATGGATAGGGATACAAAGGCCATTCAGTTTGTACCAATCATTGATTGAACTTTCTCTGTAACAAGTCCCCCAACTCCTTGGTCTGATGCTTAGAGTATCACCAATGACCAACCTGAATATCTTCCATACCAGCCAGTTTTATCACACCATATCTATGCTTAAAGGCTTTTTTTGTTTAGACCTGAAATCATTTAATTCTAATTTAAACCAATTCATCTTAGTACTACACTTTAGGGTAGAAGAGTCAAAGTTCTCTCTTCAATGTTAACTATTTGAAGATTCCTACCTCATTTACCTTGACTCTTCTCAAAGAACAAAATAAATATCACAGAAAATAATTGGAGAAGAAACAGAAAAGATCTAGCAATAAATAATTAGCTCCATGATATTTGTTTAATTTGAATTAAAATAATGTTTTTTGAAAACTACCTGAGTATATATATACACAAGTGCAACTTGTGAAAACTATTATGTAGAGAATTAAAATTATTTCAAAGAACTAGCAGAGGTACAAGTGACCTTCTGAACAGTTTCCTCTGCTTGGATATACAGAATTCTAAAGAAAATCCTGATTATTTCCGAGATACTGAGCCACCTATAATTTCTTTGCTTACCTCAGAACGGTACAAAATGTATTTACCATGTAAAGAAGGAAAATATTGATGGTCTGATTAAGTATATGAAAGTGTAAGGACTTTTTAGTTGTTTTAGTGGAGTAAACCATTTCTTAGTGTATGTTTATATTATCTTGACATATTGACTTTAAACATCTTTTTAACACGACAAAACAGGGAAAATCATTTTAATGATATGTAATCCTTGACTACTAGTTAGGAGTGGCTCTGTACTATAGTAGAATATTACAGAGACTGAGAGCCATCTTACCTATCTTCACCAGTAAGTAACTGGGTGACCTTAAAAGACCTCTAACTTCTACTTACCTCTATTCATTCAATCGTAGACTATAAAGGTTATTTTAGATGATTCTCTACATCTGCTACTGCATACTTTTATAATGGAATTCAGAACATTGCCATTTAAAGAGCAGTATAGATTTTTTTCTATAAAGAAATCAAACATGAAATTAATAGAGATATGTGTTATTTTCAGCAGTAATGACAATTAAGAGTGTCAATAAAAGTTTCATTTCCAGGGATACAAAATGAAGTCGCTAGCTGTATTAGTTTGCTAGGATTGCTGTAATAAAGTATCAAAAACTAGGTGACTTAAATTACAATTTACTTTCTCCCAGGAGGGAAACCCTAAATAAAAGTTTCAACATGGTGGTTCCTTACGAGGGCTGTGAGAGAAAGCTCTGTTTCAGGACTGTCCCCTTGGCTTTTAGATGGCCATTTTCATGTTCACATAGTATTTTCCTATAGCTGTTTCTAAATTTCTCCTTATAAGAACACTAGTCATGCTAAATTAGAGCCCTACTAATGACTTGACTTTAACTTGATCAACTTACTTCTGCCAAGAACCTATCTTTAAAAGAGGCCCCAATCTGAGGTACTAGAAGGTAGTTCATTAATGTAAGACTTTGGCGAGAAGGATGGGACCAAAAGAACACCTTTCAACCCACAAGAGTAGCCATTTTATATCTTCCTGTGGACAAAGAAAAAAATCCACCGTCAGTCTCATTAGGTGCCTTTTCCTGTACATACATCACTTGAGTTCTCTCATTTTTTATATATAATTACAAACATTCGAGTAAAAGCAATCATAACTTGATTACCAGAGATAAAAGAGAAATACCTTGTAATTTGGGTTCATGTGACTCTTATTCTAGTGGATATAGGCAAAGTTATATTTAAGAATAGTATAACAACTTTATAATTTTCATTTTGGAAGCTTTTCTGATTTTCTGGGAAGGATAAATTGTTCAGATATCATACATCCAATAGAAAGATAGATGGAGACCTTGCCCGTCTGAAAATAAAAACTAATAGTACATCTTCCCCAAGGAAGGAAGGGCTGTAACCCGGGAATATCCTCAGGACATTCATTGTGAAGATGCATTCCCTTGATTCTGTTCGTACACACTTCCCTGTGACTTTTTCTTCTTGCAGAGCTCCAGTTCTGGGATGGGAAAATTATGCTGCAGTACCAGTCAGTGTGGGCATGTATGTTGAAGCCAAAGAGACAATTTACATTCTCCTTGGAGCTGTAAAAGCTGAACTCCAATCCCTGATTAGCAAACACAACCATAAAACATAGGAAATTTAGGCATATTTGTTCAAGACATCAACTTTTAAAATACCCTTTTATTAAAAAAAAATGGCATTGGAAAATAGGCAGTGGTGGGGAAGAAAAATAGAAATAGAAAAGGACAGAGTGGCATATAAGGATTTAATGAATAACTGAAAAATATTCTGGCAGGAATGTTCCATAATCATTCATTTGGGGTATGCCTTCATAACACTAGGAAGGTATAAAAAATAGAAAAGGCATTTAAAAATGTTTATAAATCAGAAATGTTTTATTCAAATAAGATTTTTGTAGTGATAACTTTGCTATCCTCTAAGAAGATAACTTTTAAAACTGAGATGCACTAGTAACTGGCTTACTTTGCAAAGTAGATATTATTAACTCTGTTTCCTTGTTCATAAAGTGAAAACATATTCGAATCTTTTTGAGTATTATCCACATGTCTCATAATCCCTTCATATCATTCTACCAGTGGAGAAAAACAAAACCAGGCCAAGTTCACCATTATGAAGAAAAGACACTGGTTATGGAGTAAAGTCATAAAATGTTAAATAGAACATTCTAAAGAGAAGCAATCTTCTTATTCTAAGATTTTAGTTCCTAATATGGAGTCACATAGATATCATCAAACAGTACCATTGGGACCAATAAACCATCTGCTAGAGTCTGGAACCATTTACTAAGGCTTTAACTAGATTCAAGGGTATTGACCAATTGCACTCAGGGCTAGTGGTTGCACCAGATCCTATGCACCTGCTCATATCCGTCTGCTTATCTCTTGCCCCTGAAAGCATGGAGTAGACACATGGGAGCAAAAAGAACTGAGTAGAGGCAGGATGGAGGTAATTAGTTTAGTCTTCTGCCGTGTGTTGCTGGTTTTGAAATAGCTGATATACTGCCAACTGCAAACAAGAGGGACCTCTTAGAATGCTGCCTTAAAATCTTAATAGCATTCTAATTCTGATTATAAAACACAATTGCTATGAGCAGTATGGATTTTTGCTGGAGAAAAATATCTTTACATTCTATAACTCAGGGAACATTATAGTCTGTTTTTCAGCATCACAAATGATCAGAGACAGAGGTTTCTGTAAAAGTTATTTTGTGAAAACAGCACCTAGCTCTATGACTGCAGAAGGGGTTATGCACAAATTGAATAAAGTGAGGGTGTGGAGAAGGCTCCAGACAACACATTCTCTGGGTTGGGTGAATTTTTGCTTCATTAAGTCAAGGGTCACTGCCCTTCATAATTCTGCTGCTGCAGGAGGGAAATGTGTTTTCAAAGCTTTGAAATGTCCCATGCTCTTTAGGAGGGATAGGGTCTTCTAATGTCACTTTTAAGGTCTGGCATTGAAGAAGCGGTAATGGCAGATTTTTGAGCAAAGAAATCACCAGCAGAGAACCAAAGAGAAGAGAAAGTGATATGGTGAGAGGAACTGTTCATTAGATCTTTTTCATTTCAGTATCTCTATTCTTTGTGTTTTCTCATTCCTCACCATTGCATAAGAGTCTTAAAAGAAAATAACTTTCTTAACTTTCTCCAGTTTTTGCTGCAGAGGGCTATTCACTTGCCAACTGCAATAACATTGTCTATCTTGGGACTTTTATTTCCTGCACACTTGGTTAATATATCCTATCTATTACAATGCACTTTCATTCTGGCACACAAAAATAATTAGTGGTATAAATTTTAACAGTAGTCTCTCTTTTCTTTCTTTCTTATTTTTTTAATACATTGAGAGTATGTCTATACACTCGGATTCTCTTTATACTTTAATAGACAAGTTCTTCCTCTACCTGTTTATAGTTTTATGTACATATATATATATATATATATATATATGATTTAAATTAAAGGATTGATTATAGCTATACCTGATTTTGATAGGGCTTATTAATCAAAGTTATAAAGTGAAACAAAAGAGAGAAATACTAAGTGATAACTCAATGAAGCAACTCAAGAGATGATTTTAATGAGGAATTTCTTTGGCATACAAATATTTTCCCCTTGTTCTAGTAGTTTATTAAAGTTTGGTAATGGAACAGTAATCACTGATTTTTTTTAATAAAATAACCATAGATATTTTAAATGCCTCAATTAAGCCATATTATTTTAGACATGTCTTGTAAAGCCAATAGTTTGTTGAATGATGTAGACAGGAATACTAGAGACAAAATTAACATACAGTGTGCCAGACAAACATTGGAAAGTTTGTCTTCCAGAAAGTGACCATGTGTTATGAGTGCATTTTAAAACATGAACATATTTAGTAATTATGAACTTTGTTGAATTTTCAAAATGAAATTGTATGTGCAGTTACTTGAATTCTAAACTAGTTTCCAAGATTCAGTGTTGGGTAAATGGCTCTTTCAGACACCAAGCCCCCGCAGAAGCATAGTA